ACCAGATACGAGTAAAAGAAAATTACATACAAAGACAGTATTCTAAACAAGATACAGACATTATAAATTTTTAGTCATACTATTCAGTCTGATGAATGCCTCTGCCTCATTCATGAGGCTAATGAATGACATCTTCTGTGAGCAGCTTGATAAAAGTGTTATAGCATATCTAAACAATATGCTAATATATAGTAAATCAAAAGAACAATGCCTCAAGTATATAAAAGAAGTATTCAAAATTTTAAAGAAAAATAAACTATACAGAAAAATGAAGAAATATGAATTAGGAAAGAAAGAAGTAGAGTTTTTAAGTCATATAATCTTATAGGAAGGAGTAAAAGTAGACTTCAAGAAAATCAAGACAATTCAAGATTAGCTCACACTTATCAATATTTACAACTTCTAATTCTTTTTAGGCTTCACAAGTTATTACTGAAAATTCGAAAAAAATTTCATGAACACTGCAACTTCATTAACAAAGCTACTAAAAAAGAACAAAAATTTCAAATAGAAAGAAACACAAGAGAAATCTTTTAAAAAACTTAAAAAAACATTAATATCTGCTCTAGTATTGCTAATCCTAGACTACAACAAACTATTCACTCTTACAACTGATGCCTCAGACATAGCAATAGATGCAGTACTATCCCAAGACCAAAGCTATAGAGAACAACTAGTAGCATATGAATTAAGAAAACTAAATCCTGCAGAATTGAACTATCTAATTCACAAAAAAGAATTTCTAGCAATTATCTATGCGCTAAAGATCTAGCATGTATATTTAGAAAAAAACACCTTATAAATAATAACTAACTAAAATCTTTAAAATACCTACAATTTCAAACAAAATTATCATGAAGACAAGCCTAGTAGAATGAAACCCTACAAGCCTATGATTTTACTATCAAGTATCGATCAGAAAAAACTAATGTAATAGCTAATGTATTGTCAAGAAGATCTAAAACAAATACAATAACTGAAGTTAGTATTAAAGAAGATATATACAAAAGAATAAAAGAAGAATACAAAAAAGACATTTAGCTTAAAAGAAACTTGAAAGTATTGAAAGACTCTATCAGTGAAGAAGCTAAATGATTAGAGAAGCAGATAAGAAGATTTGAAATAAAAGAAAATGGATTATTATTTTTTAGAAAGGGTACAGAAGATCCAAGACTATACATAGCAAAAGAATCTAAAGAAAGAAGACTATTACTAAAAGAAAGCCACAACTTGAATAGACAATTTGAATTTAAGAAAACCTACAAAGAATTAAGACAAAATTATTATTGAAAAGAAATGAGCAAAGACATAAAAAAATATGTAAGACAATGTGATAGCTGTCAAAAAAACAAAAGCTCTACACAAGCCCTAGTAGGATTATTACAACCCTTAGAAATCCTATTATAATCATGGGAAATAGTGATAATAGATTTCATAACACACCTACCATGAATAAGAACAATTCAATAATAGAAGTAGTAGACAAATTAAGCAAAAATACTCATTTCATATCTATTAGAAGCTCTGCAACAGAAGCAGAAGTCACCCAAGTCTTTTTCAAAGAAATTTTCAAATATCATAGCCTATCCTATCTAATAATTTCTGATAAAGACCCAAAATTCACTAGTAAATTCTGGAAAAGCTTTTTCAAAATAATAGAAACAAAGTTAGAAATGTTGACTTTAGCATACCTACAAACTGATAGACAAACAGAACGTACAAACAGAATCCTTGAAGAAGTCCTGCATGCTTATGTTAATTATAAACAAGACAACTGGGTTGACATCCTACTTGCTACAGAATTCTCCTACAATAATTTGTTACAAGAATCCACAGGATACACACCATTCCAATTAGATAATGGATACCACTCAAGAACATCGTTAAGTTTGATAAACAAAAAGATAAACCCAATGAACATAAAAGCTACACAAGAATTGCTTGAACATTAGACTGAAATGATGAATGTAACAAAAGATTGGTTAGTAAACACCCAAGAGAAACAAAGCAACCAAGCAAATAAAAGGCGATGTTATCTGGA